AACAACAACAACAACAACAACATAAGCTGGAGAAAAAGAATGCACCTCGCTATTTAGCTACTATATTTAACCTCACCTGGAATGTGGAAGTTCCGGTTGTTGAAGCCTCCATAGCCCGAGTACCCGCGGAAGTAGCCGTAGGGCAGCGCCCTCATGATAGGGGGCATGGGTTTGATGTCCATCGTCTCTCCCTGGTCGTCCAGAAACGTCGTCTTCTCCTCTTTCTCCGGGGTCAGGAAGGTCGTCTCCTTCCCGCCTGTCTGAGCCTTCTCCTGCTCCGAGGACATCTTGTGAATGGTTTCGGTTCGAACCTCTGCGTCGAATGTGGTCTCCATCTTCTCTCCGGGTCGTGGTTGCACCACTGCGACGTTGCTGGCGTTTTTGGCGATGTGTGATCCCAGCATTTTGACCCCGAGCTTCGGGGAGCTCGTGTTGGATGGAGTCAGAGATTTCTCGACCCCCGAGCCAGGCAATTCTTTGTTACTGACTCGGCCCAAGGAATCGGATTCGGATCCGTCTCCGAGGAGGTTTTCCTTGCTGGAAGATTTGGATCGGGGAGACTCGAGTTCCTTTTCGGGTGTAGCACATTTCTTCATGGCGCCCTCTCTAGAACTAGAACCGGTTCCCGGGCTGTCGAGTGTTCGATCCGGAGTATTGGACCCGCTTTTCGACGACTTCTTCGACATAGCCGGGGACGCCGGGGAAGCCGAAGAGTTGGAGCTGCGACTCGCGTTCAGATTCGGAGACTGATCTCCACCGAGTCGGGGACTCGATTTTCCGGATTCGGATGAAGCCGTGATATGTTTCGGAGTCGCGGATCGGTGCAGAACCGACAAATTGGTTTGTGTGTTGCTGTCCGACTTGTTGGATTTCTGAGCGGAGGTAGAGGAAGGAGAGGCACTGGCCATGGTCGGTTTGACGACGTTGACCGACGGTTGCTGGCCGTTGGGGTGACGTCCCAGATTTGGGCTCATCATGGGGCTCTGGGGCAGCATCTGCTTGCTGCAGCGGCCAGATTGGGCGGCGGCGGCGGCCAGGTTGGTCGGGTGGGTGTCCATGTTGATGGCGGGAATTGTCACAGGCACATAGTGGGACGCCTGGGCCGTGCTTCTCTGCTGGGGCGGTGCGAAGGCACTTGTTTGCTCACTCACTTGTTGCTGTTGTTGTTGCTGCTGTTGCTGTTGTTGTTGCTGCTGTTGTTGTTGTTGCTGCTGTTGTTGTTGCTGTTGTTGCTGTTGCTGCTGTTGTTGTTGGTAGTGGTGGTAGTATTGTTGTTGTTGCTGTTGTTGTTGCTGTTGTCGCTCCATGCTCTGGATATTGACCCTAGGGTGCACGTTTTGGATGAGCGGGCTGGAGGGGACGCGGGTGGGTGTTGCATAGCCGGGGTTGTGGGCGTACGGAGGCGTGTACACGTGAGGGGTGTTGTAAGGGTGCTCCGCCACTGAGTGAGGGTTGTAGTAATGCTGAGATGGGTAGCCGGGAGGGTAGCCCTGGTATTGCTGCTGCTGCTGTTGCTGCTGTTGTTGATGCTGTTGTTGTTGTTGTTGTTGTTGCTGATGGTGTTGTTGTTGTTGTTGATGATGATGGTGGCTGTAGGACGCCGCTTGCTGAGAGTGATGAGGTGAAGAATGCTGTTGTTGCTGTTGCTGCTGCTGCTGTTGCTGACGTTGGCTGTACGCCGCCTGCTGTTGCTGATATTGCTGAAGTTGCTGCTGTTGATGTTGTTGTTGAGCTGAGGAGGACGAGGATGAAGACTGTTTGGAACTGGATCCAAATGCCTTGGGCACGCCCATTCCGGGCAAGTCTTTGTACAACGCTTTGTTGTATTCTTTACTGGCAGCGGCCGCCCTCGCCTTGTCCTCCCTCGAGAGTTTCCCCGAAGACTTGCTAGAGCTCGGTTTGGGAATACCCGTGGACGAGGCGGGGCCAGCAGACGATGAGGATGACGACACAGCTACTTGTGAAGAGCTAGAGGAAGAAGAGGGTGCTTTGGACGACGAAGATTTCCCCGAAGAAGAACTCTGGGTTTTGGGGATTCCTGACAAGCTCGCCAGCTTGGAAGCCTTTTTGGAGGAGGGTGGGGTGGGGCTGGCCGTAGCCATACGTGGGTCCGCGGCGGCCTGCCGACTGTCCGAGCGGTCATTTTTGGCGCCGGACTTCCTGCTCTGGCTAGGGGAGGCGGTTCTTGATGCAGACTGGGACGCCGCGGGGGCGTAAGGGGGACCCCCGGTGGGCGGTCCTAAACCTTGGGCACTTGGGATAGGAGGCGGGATCTGGGCACGAGGGGATTCATCGTGGTGCGCTGCGTCTTTCTTAGAGCTGAACGCCTTCACGAGAGATTTCTTCCCCGACTTGCTGCTCCCGCCGCCCCCTCCGCTTTTAGAGGGCGTGGCCGGAGCGCTGGGGAGTCCCGAGCTTGTGCTAGTAGCCCCGCCCCCGTCCCCGCCCCCAGAGCTGCTGCTATGGCTGCTGGTGAAGGACGAGGACTTTGCTGTGTCCCCAGAACTTGTGCGTGAGTCGGTATCACTGCGGGAGCTCGTGCTAGTCGTACTCGTACTGGTGCTGCTATTTTTAGACGTGCTCTTCACCACCCCTCCCCCACCCCCACCTCCACTACCCCCTCCACCACTATTTCCTCCGCCTCCTCCACTTTTATTCTTGTCCTTATCTTTATCTTTGTCTTTGAAGAACTTGAATTTGTCCAACATGGAGTTTTTATTGTTGGACGGGGGTTTGGCTGAGGATGCTGTGCTCTTGGAAGAGGAGGTTGAGCTGGTAGAGCCGGCGCTTGTCCGATTGGATTGCTTGTCGGCGAGGGTTTGACTCCGAGATGAGGGGATTCCCCGGCCAACGGGCGTGGGGATACCTGAGGAAGCTCCGGGAGCGGCCGCGGGTGAGGTGGCACGTGAGCTGGCTCCAGGGTGAGCAGAGGCCCGGGTGGGGATTAGCGAGGAGGAACCTGTGGGAGAGAGAGAAGGAGAGAGTGGGTGAGTACAGGTGTGTTGGGTGGGGATTAGCGAGGAGGAACCTGGGAGAGAGATGAGAAAGGGGGGTGAGTACAGGGGTGTTGGGTGTGGATTTTCGAGGAGGGAGAGAGAGAAGGAGAAAAAAAGGGAGGGGTGAGTACAGGGGTGTTCGGTGGGTGTTGAAAGAGAGGGAAACAGTGACAGACGTATGTAGATTTGGAGAGAGGTCTACAAACAGAATGATCAAGGCATGAATAGATATATTATAGACATAATAATATAAAGTTACATTATATCATCATCATTATCATCACCATCACATCATCACCATCACATCATCATCACCATCATCATTATCACCATCACCATCACCATCATCATCACCATCATCATCACCATCACATCATCATCATCATCATCATCATCATCATCATCATCATCATCATCATCATCATCATCATCATCAACATCC